TCCCAGCCTCATGTAACATGTTCTCGGTTTCATATTGTCTCCTGCAGCATATCCCCAGTCAAAAATGTATCCTGTCCACACTGTCTGACCCTCATTTCCTCTATTAGGTCTTCAGTTTATGACAGTCCTCTCAAGAATTACATATATTAACCGCGGGGGACATCTCCCCGAATCCTGGCCCTCCACCACCTCCCTCAACCGCACAACACCCTCCCGCCTCCACGTCCCGCCGCAACCCCCGCAACTTAGTATCTGTCCCCCTGCTCCCTAAAATCTCACCCCCGTTTTCATGTGCACTCCTGAACGCCCGATCGGTGTGCAACAAGCTTACCGCCATCCACGACCTCTTTGTTTCCCGCTCCCTCAACCTCCTAGCGATCACGGAAACCTGGATCCAGCCCACTGACTCTACCTCCCCTGCTGCACTCTCCTACGGAGGTCTCACCTGGACCCACTCACCCAGGCCCAACGGTCATAAAGGTGGTGGGGTTGGTCTGCTCCTGTCACCGCAGAGCACCTTCCGAGTCCTCCCAAACCCCCCCTCCCTATCCTTCTTCTTCGAGGCCCACTGTGTCTGACTATTCTCCCCAACCCCCCTGAAGATTGCTGTGATATACCGGCCTCCTGGATCCATACCCCGCTTCCTGGATGACTTCTCCTCCTGGCTATTATTATTATTATTATTATTACTACGAGTTTATATAGCGCCAAAGGGTTTGCTCAGCGCTGTACAAAGGGCTACCCTTCTTCCTCTCCTCTGAGATACCCACCATCATCCTTGGGGATTTCAACATCCCTGTCAACCTCGACAACCCGGACACAGCCCGTCTCCTCCACTTAACCTCCTCCTTTACACTTGCACAGTGCATACAATCCACCACCTACTCCAACGGGAATATCCTTGATCTCGTCTTCTCCAACCGCTGCACTCCCCACAACCTCACTAACACCCCTTCCCTCTCTCTGACCACAACCTGATCACCTTCTCTATCTCCTCATCCTCCAATGCCTACCCCTCCAAATGTCACACTACTACCAGCCGTAACCTCCGCAACCTTAACCCTGCCTCCCTCCACTCTGCAGCTGATCAACTCCACGACCGCATCCTCCCCCTGTCCTGCCCTGACTTGGCTATGACTGCCTACAACAACGCGCTCTCAACAGCCCTTGACTCACTAGCGCCTTTAACCACACGCAACATCAGACCCCAACCGCTCTAGCCCTGGCAGACTGATCACACCAAAACCCTCAAACGACACAGTCGTGCCCTGGAGCGACTATGGCGCAAAACCAAATCCCAACAAGCCTTCACCTGCTACAAATCTGCCTTCCACACCTACACCTCCTCCCTCCATGCTGCCAAACAGGCCTACTTCTTGACCCTCATCAAGGCCCTCTCCTCCAGTCCTCGCCGACTCTTCTCCGTCCTTCAACTCTCTACTCTCTCCACCCCCACCTCCACCCAGCACCTCACTCACTGCCCTTGAGATTGCCAATCACTTCAAAAACAAGATTGACACAATTCGCAAGGACATTGCCGCAACTCACACACCCTCTCAACCCGTCCCCTCTCACACAGCTACCCCCTTATCCCCCCTCCTCCTCGACATAACCCGCAGGGACTTTGTCACTGCTCAAACTCTCTCCAACCCCCTTCACCCTCACTCAGCTACCCCCTCATCACCCTCTCCCACTGCCCCACCACTGCTCTGACCTCCTCTTCCACCCCACCCTACATTCCTCATACTGAAGCTCCCCCAAACACTCCGCACCTTTGACCTTACTACCATCGAGGAAGTCTCCAAGATCCTCTCTGATGCCCGCCTCACCACCTGCCCCCTCGACCCTATCCCCTCACAACTACTACGACCTCCTTCCCCCTCCATCCTACGCTCCCTCACCCACATCTTCAATCTCTCCCTCTCCTCCGGCACTTTCCCCTCCCCTCTGAAACATGCACACATCACCCCCATACTTAAAAAGCCCTCCCTGGACCCCAATGACCCGAACAACCTCAGACCCATCTCCCTGCTCCCATTTACATCTAAACTCCTCGAGCGCCTAGTCTACACCCGCCTATGCTCTCACCTCAACGACAACAACCTCCTTGATCCCCTACAGTCCGGCTTCTGTCCCCTACACTCCACCGAAACTGCCTTACTCAACTCTCCAACGACCTGCTAACCGCCAAAGCTAATGGCCACTATTCAGTGCTCCTACTCCTTGACCTCTCTGCGGCCTTCGACACAGTCGACCACCCCCTCCTCCTCAAAAAACTACACTCCCTCTGCCTGAGATTCTGCTCTCTCCTGGCTCTCATCCTACCTGTCACAACGCTCCTTCAGCGTTACCTATAATGCTACCACCTCCCCCTCACTCCCCCTCTCTGTTGGGGTCCCTCAAGGCTCTGTCCTCTGGCCCCTTCTCTTCTCCATCTATACCTCCTCCCTTGGCCAACTCATACACTCTCACGGCTTCAACTACCACCTCTATGCCGATGACACACAAATCTATCTCTCAACCCCCCACCTCACCCCCTTGGTCTCAGCCCGAATCACACACCTACTGAGCGACATATCAGACTGGATGTCGCTCCACTTCCTTAAATTGAACCTCTCCAAAACCGAGTTTCTTGTCTTCCCCCCAGCCCGGACACCACCCCCCATTGATTTCTCCGTCACATCCAACAACGCTACCATCAACCCGCCCTGCAGGCCAGAGTACTTGGTGTAATTCTGGACTCCAACCTATCCTTTCAACCCCAAGTCCAATCTTTAACAAACTCGTGCAGACTCCACCTCCGCAACATCGCCAAAATCCGCACGTTCCTAACCCCAGAAACCACTAAACAGCTCATCCACTCTCTCATCATATCACGACTCGACTACTGCAACTCCCTCCTCACTGGCCTGCCTCGCCGCTGGCTATCCCCGCTTCAGTCGATCCTGAATACGGCTGCCAGACTCATTCACCTTTCCAACCGCTCTGTCTCCGCCACCCCCCCCTCTGCCAATCCCTCCACTGGCTTCCGATTGCGCAACGGATCAAATTCAAAATCCTAACGCTGACGTACAAAGCTGTCCACCATACTGCCCCGAACTACATCACTGACCTAATATCCACGTACCACCCAACACGCACTCTCCGCTCCTCACAAGACCTCCTTCTCTCTAGTTCCCTGGTCTCCTCCTCCCATGCCCGCCTCCAGGACTTCTCCAGGGTGTCACCATCCTCTGGAACTCCCTGCCCCAACCCATCAGATTATCACCTACTCTCCTTCTCCTTTAGGCGCACCCTGAAAACCCATCTCTTCAGGGAAGCCTACCCCACCCCCTGCTAACTTGCCGACCTCCTCCACTCTTCCTACCACTCCATCCCCCACAGCTATCTCCTCCTGTGCCACCATCCCCTCCCTCCTAGATTGTAAGCTCGAAAGAGCAGGGCCCTCGATTCCCTCATGTTTTGCATTGTATTGGTATTGTTCTGTCACACGTTCTGTCCCCCTTTGTAATGTACAGCGCTGAGCGAACTGTTGGCGCTTTATAAATACTGTATAATAATAATAATAATATATTGACCATTACATGCGGCCCTTTTATGCCAGGGGCTGCATTTGAGGCCCCCTTTGGCTCATAGGTTGATGACCACTGTTCTATGCCCCAGGTCAGTTAGGATTTCCGAGAACGCACTTTGTAGTGGACCACCTTGGTTTAGCAATGCAGCTTCACACACGTGTTCAAATGTGATGCAAAAAAAAACTCTTTTTGTAATCCAAATATTGAGGAAAAGATTAATTAGGATATTTGCTTTGAATGGGTGGATTAACCCTCTTCCCACCGAGCCCCGGCATCCCTTTATTAAGGTCTGTATACCTAAAGGAGGACGGAAAGATTGGTGATCATGTGACCACTGTGATTGGCTGTCATAATGGTCACATGTTTGGGAGCTGGTGCCACTGGCTACCTATTGTTCGTGAGATCCAAGCACTGTCTCTTCCAGCTTGGTCTCTGTGCTGGGAGTGCACAGTGAGCGCGCTCTCAGCACAGAAACATTGGCCATCCAGTGACTCTTATATGCAGCATGTGGGTGTTTCAGTCCACTTAGTGCACATTTGTGTTACACGGGTGGCCACAGGTTAAGTAACGGGGAAATTTTTGTTTTAGGCCCTGGAAAGTAGCACACTGTACCATCATCAGACCCTGTTATTGGAGAAACTTGGAGGCTGCCATTGCTGAGCCTCAGGCTTCAATACTTTGAGTCATCGACTCACAGAGCCAGAACAAGTATAACAGATGGCCACATCCGATGTGTGTGGCAGTGGTGGGATCTCCTCTAACGGTCATCAATCCATATCTGAGTCTGAAAATGCTCCATAAAGCTCCACAAGACTTGCTGGACCCAGCAGGGTGCCATGATTAGTATGTTCATGGATAGGTTGATTCTTCTCTGGGCCCAGCAGGGTGTTGTGATGGATGGATTCTTCTTCTTTGATGCAACGCTTTACATACATAACTTACATTCATACTTAGACCAATTTAGACAGGAGCCAGTTAACCTAACCTACCAGCATGTCTTTGGAGTGTGGGAGGAAACCCATACAGGCACAGGGAGAACATGCAAACTCTAGGCAGGTGTTACTGTGGTCGGGATTCAAACCGATGACCCGAATGCTGCCAAGTGGAAGCTCTAGCCACTTAGCCACTGTGCTGCCTATGTTTTTGCAGGTTTATGAAAAAAAAAATACATTTTAATACAGGAGCATGCAAAGTATTTCACAGTGGGATGTGTTGGGATTACCATTTCCTTGTTTTGATGCATGATGTGAAAATGTATAAATTGCCTTATTGGTAAACAGAGTAGTATATAAAGTACCTCTAGTGATATAGATACATAGGATGCAGAAATACACTATACATAGTGGTGGTGTTTATCATAATGGATAGAAAGATAGATATGGAAAGTGTCAGCTATATCCCCTCTATGGTGTCTTTGTCCTTCAGATGTGGCATCAGAGTGCCTGAGCTCTGTGGAGCAGACTGATACAGAAGAAGCATCGCTGACATCACGCTGGAGTGCTGCTCAGAACCCCCTGGGGAGCCCTACACCTCACCCTCCTCCTCTGCTCATCTTGAAAAATTTGCTTGTAGATCAGGTAAGGCTGGTTCCAGGGAAGTATCTCTATTTCCTACAAATAGCTGAGCTGTGGCAGGTGGATATCTATATAGATCTCATACCTAAGCACCATTCAGTTTCCACACTTCTACACACATGGAGACATCCCTGTTGTCTAAGATAGAATCCTGTCAGGATTATGGCCAGAAAGGTTTAAAGTCATAGGCCAACGTCCGTCGGGCCTCTCCTTCTCTGTGTCCATCGGGCCTCTCCTTTTCTGTGTCCGTCGGGCCTCTCCTTTTCTGTGTCCGTCGGGCCTCTCCTTTTCTGTGTCCGTCGGGCCTCTCCTTCTCTGTGTCCGTCGGGCCTCTCCTTCTCTGTGTCCGTCGGGCCTCTCCTTCTCTGTGTCCGTCGGGCCTCTCCTTCTCTGTGTCCGTCGGGCCTCTCCTTCTCTGTGTCCGTCGGGCCTCTCCTTCTCTGTGTCCGTCGGGCCTCTCCTTCTCTGTGTCCGTCGGGCCTCTCCTTCTCTGTGTCCGTCGGGCCTCTCCTTCTCTGTGTCCGTCGGGCCTCTCCTTCTCTGTGTCCGTCGGGCCTCTCCTTCTCTGTGTCCGTCGGGCCTCTCCTTCTCTGTGTCCGTCGGGCCTCTCCTTCTCTGTGTCCGTCGGGCCTCTCCTTCTCTGTGTCCGTCGGGCCTCTCCTTCTCTGTCGGGCCTCTCCTTCTCTGTGTCTGTCGGGCCTCTCCTTCTCTGTGTCTGTCGGGCCTCTCCTTCTCTGTGTCTGTCGGGCCTCTCCTTCTCTGTGTCTGTCGGGCCTCTCCTTCTCTGTGTCTGTCGGGCCTCTCCTTCTCTGTGTCTGTCGGGCCTCTCCTTCTCTGTGTCTGTCGGGCCTCTCCTTCTCTGTGTCTGTCGGGCCTCTCCTTCTCTGTGTCTGTCGGGCCTCTCCTTCTCTGTCGGGCCTCTCCTTCTCTGTCGGGCCTCTCCTTCTCTGTCGGGCCTCTCCTTCTCTGTCGGGCCTCTCCTTCTCTGTCGGGCCTCTCCTTCTCTGTCGGGCCTCTCCTTCTCTGTGTCTGTCGGGCCTCTCCTTCTCTGTGTCTGTCGGGCCTCTCCTTCTCTGTGTCTGTCGGGCCTCTCCTTCTCTGTGTCTGTCGGGCCTCTCCTTCTCTGTGTCTGTCGGGCCTCTCCTTCTCTGTGTCCGTCGGGCCTCTCCTTCTCTGTGTCCGTCGGGCCTCTCCTTCTCTGTGTCCGTCGGGCCTCTCCTTCTCTGTGTCCGTCGGGCCTCTCCTTCTCTGTGTCCGTCGGGCCTCTCCTTCTCTGTGTCCGTCGGGCCTCTCCTTCTCTGTGTCCGTCGGGCCTCTCCTTCTCTGTGTCCGTCGGGCCTCTCCTTCTCTGTGTCCGTCGGGCCTCTCCTTCTCTGTGTCCGTCGGGCCTCTCCTTCTCTGTGTCCGTCGGGCCTCTCCTTCTCTGTGTCTGTCGGGCCTCTCCTCATTGTGTCCATCCCAGCCTGTGCGCTGCCATGTTTATATTTCTAAGTTTGTGCATTAATACAGGCTGCCATGCTTGCATTGTTCTGATTGACCTCACTCTTTATAAGACCCTCATAGCATGATCTACAGACTGACCTCCCTCTTGATAAGACCTCCATACCGTGCTTTACATACATGCATTATGCTGTAACACGCTGTGGGTAAAGTGCTCTGTCAGCTCTAATTAGTGTAACCCTCTCAAGATGTGCAGAATGCTACTTTTCCAGTGTAGTGCACTGAGCAGAGACCCCAGAGATTACACTAAGCAGAGGGGGGATTGCAGGGACCCCAGAGATCACCACGACCAGTATAGTCCACTGAGCAGAGGGGGGGATTGCAGGGACCCCAGAGATCACCACGACCAGTATAGTCCACTGAGCAGAGGGGTGATTTCAGAGACTCCAGAGATCACCACGACCGGTATGGTCCACTGAGCAGAGGGGTGATTGCAGGGACCCCTGAAACCACAGAGTTAGTTGCTGGGACCCCAGAGATTATGCTGACCAGTATAATATACAATGCACTGAGCAGAGGGGTGATAGCCGGAATCCAAGGGATCACAGAGGGGTGATCACAGATATCACACTGGCCAGTATTGCAGGTACCTTTGAAATCACAGAGTGGCCATTGCAGGGGCCACAGAGATCATGCTGACCAGTATAGCAAACTGAGCAGCAGGGTGATAGCAGGGATCCAATAGATCAAACGGGGATTGCAGGGACTAAGGAGATCACAGATACGTGATTGCAGGTGCCCCAGAGATCACACTGACCAGTATAGTACACTGAGCAGAGAAGAGATTGCAGAGATCACAGAGAGGTAATTGCAGGGACCCCAGAGATCACAGGTAATTGCAGGGACTGCAGAGATCACAGAGAGGTAATTGCAGGGACCTCAGAGATCACAGAGAGCTAATTGCAGGGAACCCAGAGATCACAGAGAGGATTATTGCAGGGACCTCAGAGATCACAGAGAGGATTATTGCAGGGACCTCAGGGATCACAGAGAGGTAATTGCAGGGACCTCAGAGCTCACAGAGAGGTAATTGCAGGGAACCCAGAGATCACAGAGAGGATTATTGCAGGGACCTCCGGGATCACAGAGAGGTAATTGCAGGGACCTCAGAGCTCACAGAGAGGTAATTGCAGGGACCTCAGAGATCACAGAGAGGTAATTGCAGGGACCTCAGAGCTCACAGAGAGGTAATTGCAGGGAAACCAGAGATCAGAGGTAATTGCAGGGACCTCAGAGATCACAGAGAGGTAATTGCAATGACCTCAGACACCACACTGACAGGCAACTGTGACACCATTATCCAGATTGACTGTATTTTTATTCTCCCCAGGGGTCCAGCCCTGACCCTCATGTCCACTCCTGGACTGTCCATCATCCCTCCTTTCAGCTGCTTCCTACCACTTCACAGTTCCTGGTTTTTCCCTCATCAATACCTCCGCCAAAGCCTCAGCCATCCAGTGGAAAGTCCACCAGTTACTTACCTATCCTTAACTCCTACCCCAAGATCGCACCACTCCCATCACAGTTGCCTCTGCGGGGACACAAGAGAGAAGCCGAGACATGGCACCAAAACCAAACAAAAAGGCAGCTTTGGGGATCGCTGCGCTCAGGAGCTGGGGAGAAGGCAAGTTCCTCGAATAGTCCGGAGGAGCCCGTGCTCAGTGATGCAGCTCCAGACTGTGAACTGGGCCTGGCCACCACACAGAATGAGACCAAAGACAGCATGGGGATGGATAGCTCTGATCTCCAGGCAGCTCCGTTTTCAGATACCTCCAATAAGATTCGCCGTTCAGTGCCATCTCTTCAGCAGAACAAAAGTCGCAGGTTTCAGAATACTCTGGATGTTTTACACCGTTCTGGGCTACTGAGCATTGCTATAAAAACGAAAGAACTGGCCAGACTTAACCAGGCCACCCAGACCCAGCTGGAGAAGCTGCAGGAGCAGGTGAACCTCTACACTAAAGCCATCAGCAGTAATAGCACAGAAGACTGGCAAAAGCTGCAGGAATCACTGGGTGAGCCTAGTGGGCAGTTAAAAGAGATCAGCATGTGACTGTGGCCCATTCTTATGATGGAAGGATTTGTAAGTCTAGCAGTGAGATAGTATAGCCATACTGGTTATGGTGAGAAGGGACTAAAGGAATCGTAAAGCCTTCCAACCCAATTGGTGCATAGCACAGTAAGCCTTATTAGACCAGAAGGTATTCACATGTCTCATTCCATTACATATCCCAAAAATAAGAGGATTATACCTCATTTCAGTGGGTGGAGCCATGGAAATAATTTCTTTATGCCCAATCAGCTACATCCAGAACTGCTGCTGTATAGTGCAAATATAGCCTGATGTTAAAGAGCCATTATTCCAACTCTAGTAGTAAGATAGTGGGACATGCCCAAGGCCCTTACCAGTCATGGTGATAACGATGTAGCTAGTCCAAGCACGGTAGTGAGTAGTTGGCTGTGCCCAGGGGAAGGGAGGGTCTCTAACTGTACACTTGGGGACTATATATATCTAGGTTAGCCAATCAGATGAGGCTAACACCATCCTATGAGAGGCCAACCACACAGCTAACGTTAGTTACCCTCGTAAGAAAGCAGAACTGTCGGTGTTGCTCACAGCAAACAGTAATTTTTTTTTTTTTTATTAACCTTCACTGAAAGAATAGAATTGGAAGGGTAACCAAGGCCCCTATTCACATAACGTGAGCCTCTGTTTCTGGGTCAGCTGAACACAGGAAAAATGAGTTGCTCATAGGCTATTTCAGTGAAAAGTGTCGAAAGATGTGTTGGTCGAGAAGTGGTTTAAAGTGGTTGTAAAGTTAAAAGTTTTCTTTTTTTTTTTCTAGAGCAACTCTCTCCTTCAGCCCCCCAAAATACACACCTGAGTCCAATTGCAGTCTAGCATTACGCACAGCTGCAGCAGCTTCTCTCTCCTCTTCTGGCTCTCACAGGCTTGGCTGAGAGCAGCGGGAGCCATGGGCTCCCACTGCTGTCATTCAAAATCAGTGAGCGGGGGGCGGGGCCGATCCAGGCTGTGTGTCTGAATAGATGCAAACAGCTTGGCTTGGGAGCAAGCTCACACAAGTGACCAACATAGGAAGCGGCTTCCTATGGTGGGGACTTGGCGGTGGGAGGAGCCAGGAGCGTGGGGGGGGGGCCCTGAGCAGAGGGGGGATTTGGGCTGCTTTGTGCACAACCACTGCACAGAGCATGTAAGTTTGACCTGTTTGTTACTTTATTTAAGAAAAAAAATCTAATCTTTAATACCACTTTAACCTTAAACTACGTAAGGGGTTCTTTACTGTCAGAGCGGTAAGGATGTGGATCTCCCTTCCACAGTTGGTGGTGTCAGTGGAAAGTGTTGATAATTTAAAAAAACTCTCAGATGGGCATTTTAGTGAACACAATATACAGAATATGGGAAATTGTAATAACATAAAAACCCACAAAGGATGGACTGGTGTCTTTATGCAACCTTAATAACTATGTAACGGTGTTGTGGCTGCCCATAGCAACCAGCCAGAAGGAATGTAAACTGAAATCGGGCGGCCTTGAGCAATGCCGTCATTTGTTCCAGAGTGTCCGTTGCGTTCTGTGAATAGTTACACATGACCGAAAACTAGCAAGCACGTCCTGCCTCCTTAGAGCAACGTTCAGATTTAAACCGCCATCTACCTCCATGTCCCATCCATTTCACTTTTCTCCTCTAGTATCTTGCCTGGGTTCAACTGAGGTTCAGTATAGTCAGCTGCTATCAGGAACTGGTGCTGTCATTAGCTGAAGAAGACGAAGTACAAGAATCCCTCTATAGAATATGGCTGCCTCTCCAGTTCATCGGCTGCCTGCCCAAGACATGGCCTGTGTTTGGCTGGTTTCCAAGGCCTGCAGGAATGTCTCCATGCCAAGAGCTGTGGCTGATATTAATGCCAGACCATTGTGAGGATTGATCTGGAAAGTTCTGTAGATTCAGCCACAGAGGAGGACAGAGTGAAGACCGGTATTATAAAAAATTGTAACGTAAAATGAACCTTACCATGTTGTCATACTGTATTTTGTTCAATAAACATTTCTTTTTCTGTAAGAGTGGTGTATCTCTCTGAAATTTGGTGTGAACGGAGAGTGTCTCTGAGCCCTCAGTACCTATAGATTGGCCCTCACAGGACCACACATTAAGAGGATGCTATCCTATCCTCCCTGTGAAAAATATGACCTCCAGTAGCTATAAATTGGCCCTCGTGGAGCCACACTTGAAGAGACTGCTACCTAAACTTCCTCGTGACACAGATCTATATATTGGTCCTCATGGGAAGGGAAGATATGACCTCAGCACACAAAGATGTCCCTCACAGGGCCCTGAATGAAGAGGATGCTATCCAATTGTCACTCTGCTACAGATCTATGACCTCAGTACATAAAGATCAGACTTCACAGGGCCATGCATGAAACAAATTATTATAGGTACTTATATAGCACTGTCAATTTATGCAGTGCTTTACATATATATTGTACATTCACATCAGTCCCTAACCCTCAAGGGGTGTACAATCTAAGGTCCCTAACTCACATTCATACATACACATACTAGGGACAATTTAGACAGGAGCCAATTAACCTACCAGCATGTCTTTGGAGTGTGGGAGGAAACGAGTAAACACACGCATGCACAGTGAGAACATGCAAATTCCAGGCAGGTGGTGCCATGGTTGGGATTTGAACCAACGACCCTTGTCCTGCCAGGTGGAAGTGCTAACCATTTAGCCACTGTGCTGCCTGATACCCAATCCTTCCTGTGACAGTGATATTAACCACTGCCCTCCAGAGGATTTACCTTTTTTTTGCGATACGGCGCTGTGTTATTTTAACTAACAATTGCACAGTCATGCAGCACTGTACCCAAATTAAATTTTATGTCCTTTTTTCCCACAAATGGAGCTTTCTTTCAGTGGTATTTGCCTCTGCGATTTTTATTTTTTGCACTATAAACAAAAAAAGACCAACAATTTTGAAAAAAAAAAAAAAACAATATTTTTGACTTTTTGCTATAAAACAGTCATCCAGTTAAGGCGGCGATCAGCAACTTATAGTGGGACAAGCATTCTGACACTGGGGGAAACTGACTAACTGACACTGACATCACCATTGACACTAATACAGTGATCAGTGCTAATAAAAATCACTGACACTGTACTAATGGCACTGAGCAGGAAGGGGTTAACATCTAGGGCGATCAAATGGTTAACTGTGTACTGTTTTACTATTTTGCCTGTGTGTGCTTGTGTGTAAGCATGCTGCTTTGTATTACTCTGCTATGCAGAGCAATATAAAGCACTGTGCTGGTGCTGACAGGAGAGAGATCTGTATTGTTTACATACAGACCTCTCCTCTGTCAGTGTTCCTCGGCAATCGCTGGGTGCCTGCGAGCAATCTCCAGCCAGGACCCGGTGATCAACAGCTGTAGCCACCAATGGTGGCGCGGGTAGGGTGGCACGCGTGCCCCCTACCCGGAGTTACATAATCATGTATATATACTGTGTATATACTTGATTTTGCGCAGCCCTGCCGCCTTGTAGCAGTAGTTCTGCTATAGGGCGGTCGGGAAGCACTTAAAGGCAATTATTTTTTAAATAACATGTCATACTTTTGCACAGAACAGCCCGCGATCCTCCTCAGGTCCCCTGCCAGTGCTCCTGGCCCCTCCCTCCTGCCCAGTGCCTCCAGAGCAAGCAGCTTGCTATGGGTGCACCCAAGCATGCTCGTCTTACGCTGCTGCTCTGCGTGTCCATTCACACACAGAGCTGCGGCTTGGCCCAGCAGACTGCATGAGGGTAATAATGCACGAGGGTAAAAAAAACCTTGAGCCTTTACAACCACTTTAACCACTTCGCGCCGGCGTCTCCTGGCCCTTTAAGAGTTTCAGAAGCCGGGAGGCGGGCGAGAGGCTGCATATTTGCGTGCGCTTGGCGTTAGGGGTTAAGGTAGTGGTTTTATGGTGCTAGAAACTCAGGTAGATATTATTTGATATGAAATTAGTTTTGTCAAAGCAATATAAATAGTGTCACATTGGGCATCTGGGCGACATGGAGATGCTTCCATCCAGCACAGAACTCCCACTGGAACCTCGGGATGCAAATGTACCGAATGGAGCACCACAATAGATATCCAAAATGAGGTATTTATTCCAAACACAAAATAAATGTAGCAGTCAATATATATCAGGGGCCCCACTTTGCCCTCTTCATCAGGGCCTAAAAATATAGATAGTGAGGACTCCTACTGTAGGAAAAAACTGAATATCAAACAGTAGCTTTGTTTCATTCAGCAGTGGGGTCAGTGCTACCCAACCCTCATTGTGGCACAGATCTATGACATCAATAGCTAAAGATCGGCCCTTACTGGACCCCGCTAAAGGGACTGCTACCCAGGCCTCCCTGTGACAGAGATCTATGACATCAGTCTGGCATGGATTGTGGTGATTTGTAGTTCCCCTCAGTTGGTCAGGCACTGTAAAAGAATAGAATAATAATAAAAGTGAGCGCTCTTATAAGTATGCAGCTGAACACTCAAGAAAACCAAACAAAACCTTGTCATAAACGTATAAAATATGTGCGGCGTTAATCAACACATTGAATAAAATTTATGTGGAAAAATGTCCCCAATATTAAGAACCTAAATCAGTGACGGTCTCTATAATAGAGATAGCGTGATATACAGCTTCAATCCGGTGGTGGTGCTCCCAGTGGTAAGGTAAGAATTACGCACTCACCAGAAGCGTAATTAAATTACGCAGTATGTACATCAACAGGGATCCCTTTCACAGATATTCTTCCGGACTGGAACTCAGGATAGGTTCTCCTTCAAGATGGTGTGGATGTGAACCCTCAAAGGATGTAGGTAGATCCAGCTGGCCAGAGGTCCCCTTTAAGGGATAGATGGGTATGGATGCCTGCTTACAGGTACTTCCCTCTCTGGGTCTGGTGGGCTGGTGACTTGTTGATTAGCGCTGCACATATTTTATACTGTTTGTAAAATCCTTCAGTTATATTAATCACAGTG